TTAAATCAGCCGCGTATCGACGTCCAGCGCAATCCGCTTTTTCGAAAACGTCCATTACGCGACGTTACACGCGATCGGCGATGTGCATAAATTTTCCTTCGAGGGACTCACCCAGGGTGAGAGAGCAAGAGAGAGAGAGAGAGAGAGGGGCGAGGTATGAGGCAACTGGCAATAGAAGGGTGGCCGTGCATCGCTTTTGATTGTTTTCAGTGACTGATGCTTTTTTGGAACAGTCAGCGTTGATCCGGCCAAATGATGTTCCCTTGTTTGCAAGTGAACGCCGAGCGACAGCTGGAGAGAATTGTTTTTGCAGCCCGCTCTCTGCTTTTCATTGAATTACGGGCGTGCTTCGTAATTTTCGCGTAAGTTTATCAGAACGGGAAAATGCTGCGCGAGAAAAATTCGTTGTTTCTTTCTTTAATTGGTTGAAAAACGCACAGGGTTGTTTAACCCTCCTCGCGCAATTATTTCGCGCATTGTGCAACACGCGGAATACAGTATTCGATGGTCGAATTAATTTTCAGCTGCGTCAAAGTACAGACGTTATAAAGCGTTTTATAAAGCGTTTCGACGAGCAGCGGCAGTAATTAGTACTGATGGTATGGCAAACAAAATTAAAATTTCGTCAACGCCGAAATGTAATTCACGAGCGCTTCGCAGCTGTATACTTTGTGCCGCGTGAATATCGTGACGAAATTCAGCGAGTACAATCTTGTTAGCTTCAGAGGTAGGGCGAGATGGACCAACTTTTGCCGAAAAGTTGTTATTCGTTGGTGTGTTTAATCGTGTCGTAAAATTCATCGAGGCTGCAGAATTTTTTTTTACCGAGTGTCAAAGCATTGGGTATAAAGTACGGAATACGAAAAGAAAAAAAAAAAAAGAAAAGAAGGAACGCGTTTTTACAGCTTTATCGATTTTCTTCCGTTTGAAAAATTTGCCCATTCATCAGATTTATATTTTGTCCGTTGCTGACGTAAAATCATCCAGGCGGAACTCATCGTCGTGTAAATCAGACTGCAGGGAACACATAAATCTGATTTTATAAACCGTGGCCGGAAGTTAACGCTCTCCTTTTATTAAACGCAGTTTAATAAGTAACTTCCGCGAAGTGAATTTAATACCGCGCCACGTACGGAGATAGTAGCGTTACGTTCCATTTCATTTGAGGGAAACTTCTTTCCGTTTGCTTCAACACAACAGCCGCGCCGGTTCGTACGTACGTTTTTACCTCGCGTTACACGTTCCGCTTGCATTAGTTACAGTCGTGCAAAGTGATTTCTACGGTTCTTGCAGTGAAGTGCCTTCCGAAGCAGACTGCATGAAAGAAAATGGAGAAAATCTGTAAACGTGCCAGTCTTCTTCGTATACGTGATTAATGTTAAGAGGTACAGAGAGACATGAAAAGAACATTGAGCGAGCTATGCAGTCCGCTTACGTAAAGTTACGCGCAGCTTACGCGAGTTACAAGAAGCAGCTTGTTTCGTGGAGTTTCTAACCTCCACGTGCGTTATGTTTGCCGCTAGAATTCTTACGATGTAAGGTGATTTAAGACACTTGTTTCGCGTCGTGCAACGAAGGTAATTTTTCAATCTCGAAGAAGGGTTGAGACTCCGAGATCGGATAATCTTTGTAAATTTATTTATGGTATTTCGAGCAGCGTCACGCACGCATCGTAAAACAACGTAGCGATTCGGATCCGAAAGGTGGACGGCGAACGTGTTGAGGCAGTGCGTTTGGAAAGACCGTAGTAAATCCCGAGGAATTTCATCGCCTCGGTATCTTCACGGTAACGCGAAAGGGAACGAAAGTTTTACGATACGATGTATCCAGAGTCGATACTTTGGGAACACGTGTGTCGTGGTATTTTCATCTCGCCGGTAGCGTGTCGTAAAAAAGGATAAACTTTCCGGATAATCCTTCCCGCGATTGAATGTAGAAAAACATGTATGTAGCTCCTTCTGCCTCTCGTTTCACCAAGGTCCTCGTTTCCTTTGCTGCACGTACCAGTTTTACGGTTTTCTATATTGCAGGCGGAAACTCTGTTAACCCTTTTTGTTTACGGATTCCGGGGCAACTTTCCGTTTTCCCGTTTGTTTGCGTAAGCGTGCGCTATCTCGCGACGCCACGTGTATGTACATTTTGCAAGCCCCACTTGCGGCGAAAAAAGCGAAACTCCCGGTACCTCGCGCCTCTGTATACCCACCTGACTGGACTAATAAAACGCCTCTGGGGTAGCTTTTTTACGAGCCTTCGGAGAGAGCGACATACCCGTCGAGCAACGAGATTTTTCTTCCCCTTCAGTCGTCTCCCCGTCAGCCTCTCTCGTGTCCGTCTTTTTAAGGGCACCGCGATAAATCGCAATATCGAATACGTTAACCGAGGAATACCGTGGGTGCTTCACGATGTATTTTTTCCTCTCCTCTCCTCTCTCTTTTTTTTACGCTCTTCGCAAGGTTCACTTTATACTGGCTTTTACTCGGAATTTTAGGGCGAATTTCCGCGGTCTTTTTTCTCCAACAGTTGTTCCGTTTTTCTTTTTTTTTTTTTTTTTTACGTCATTAATCGTAAATTACCGCGTGTAAAAATTCGTTCCCCCTGTCTACGGTATTTTTATTCCGTCTGCTTTGTTTCGAACAAACGGTACACAGGAACGATCGACGAAGCATCGTTTCCTTTCAATCTGTTTTGTCTCAATTATGTCAACGACGAACCGTGTTTGAGAATTTCAGTTGAGAAAAAAGAAAGGAGGAAGGAACAACTGTGGAATTGGTTTTCGCTTCGATATATGCAACATAATTGACTTTGTCATGTTTGCGTCGCACTCGAATTACGCTGTCTAATAATTTAGCCATTTGCACTCCGACGTTAGGCTACCAAGATTGATGAATTCTCTTTTCTGACGAGTGAACACTTTCAGCGTTTCGATTCTTGGAGAATGTTGCCGACGATACAACAGTAAAATTAAATCGCTAACAAACACGCGGGGGGGGGGGGGGGGGGGGGGGGAGAAATCGACAAACTAATGAAGCAGCGCGTAATAACGATAGGAATGCTTGATCGATCGCACAGTTTTATCGTGTAGGTCTGAAACACATCCATCCGATGGCTGTGAATGAGAGGGAACGGGCAACGCGAATGATAATTAACCGCTTAGCAAACACGTTCGGCTTTGGCGCATTCCATAAGCCAAAAACCTGGATACAGAATTCGACGGTTCAAAGTAAAGCAAACAGCAAAGGGAATTCGCGTTGTAGTAGTAGCAGCAGCAGCAGCGCGGGTAATGAACGTTTGCTGCTGCGATATTTCGTGGCAACGAAAACTGCGTCGATACGAGAGCGCTAATCATCGATTTTCACTGACCCATCAACATCCAAATGTGATTTTGTTGGTCCGTTCTTCCTGCCGTTTCCTCCTTTCGTTTCTGGCCACTCTTCACTGCGAACGAGTTGATCAAACGTCAGTGTACAGGCAGGCAGCGGACCTGTCGTTTACAGCGTGCAAAACGCGACGGATTTAATTCGCGCCCGGGTACTTTTGCTCATTTCCCTTGTCATCGGCTCTTTTCAACGTTCATTCTTTCGTTCGAAGAAAGTACCAAAGACTCGTGAAATATTGTTCTCCTTTCGGTTTCGTGTCAATTAATTAATTAATTCCGAGATGGCGGCAGCTGGTTAACAGAGACTTTCGTTTCGGCGCAAAGTAAAATCGAAGTAATTTAATTGTTTGGTCGGTCGATGTTCGTTACGCCCGGGATAATTAATCTGTCGTCCGCTCGTTCGAATCGATCCGTTTCGTTTTTTCGGTCGGACAGACCGGGGATCTGTAGGGAAGTTTTTTGATGGATCGTCGAAACGGGAAAGTTTCTCAGGTTGACACGTGTTTTTCGAAAACTCGGAGATTCCATTTGACGGCGCGGTTCGATAGTCGGGAACATTTTTTTTTCCCCGGCGATAGCCGGAATCAATCAACCGATCGGTTGCAAACCGGAGTACAATTTTGCGTATTTGTCGATTCCTCCGGGCGAAAGCGAAACAAACGTGTATCCTCCCTCCCGTGTTTGATCATCTGGCCTCGTTGTCTAGCCCCTTCTCGAGCGTCAGCGCCCTCGTCCAGTTACCCAGCTTAATCGTTGCAATTCCCGGGAGACGGGAGAAAAAGTAAATTAGGCTACTTTCGCGGCCAGATTTGCGCCCGATTCACCGGCCGCTCCTCTCTGAATGCAACGTTTGTCAATGGCTCGTGAAACGGTACGCGCGCGCGTTTAACCCTCTCGCTCTCGGTGGAGAATTGTTTGTCGACGGATGACAGAAAATCGATAATCCTTATCTAGGGAGAATCGCACGGTAACCGGGGGTATGTGATACGAATGTTCATGACGAATGATTGTACGTTGAAGATGCGAGATTGAACTAATTATTCAGTTCGTGGACCCAAGGGAGAAGCGCACAATTTCGAATGGATGTTGATTGAATGTTAATCCGTGAATCGTATCGTCTTTTAATCACGGAATTTCGAACGGTTCTATTTTTGTATTTCTAAACATACCTTTCCTTTTTTTTTTTTTTTACCGAAATTATGCGCTTCTCTATAAGGTTCCCGTGTGTACCTACCTGCTGATATCGCCACATCCAGTTCGACACGCCACGGAATAAATCGTACAAAATCATCAAACGAGATAGAATGCTGCGTAGATACGTCGATGAAAAAAAAAAAAAAAAAAAGAAAAATGGGTTACAAACTGATACTGTCGAATCAAATTTTGATTGCTAAAATAAAATCGTAACTCAAAGATACCTGCCGAAGCAGCGTTAAAAACATGTAACGCGTGTAGTTCGTTTTTCAAACGAATTCGCTCGGAATTGCTACGAGTTGCGCGAGTTGAACGCTGAAAAAAATAAATCGAATGCTTACAGTTTACCGTGGCGTGCTGAACGCTGTTGTAATCTGCGCCTGAAATAGTGACAGGGGTTGCGTTGAAATAAAGAACGGTACGCCATGGATGCACAAAAAACGTTAATATAATAACAATAATATATATAATATATATAACGTATATGCATGTATACATGGTTCTTATTAACAATTTCATCATTTTGTTTTCCCTAGGCTACCCAAAAATGTCACCGGAAATGTGGCCGGTCGAAAACCGGTCTCGTTCCTCCGTTCGAGAATCGTCCCTCGAAACTCGTAATTTTTCATCGCGAAACGAGCCGGCTTGGTGAACAAAATTTCCCCTAAACCACCCGACACTTTCGCCGGTATATGCGTATTTATAATACATTAACATCTTCTTTTCGCACGACTCGCACGTTCGACGCGTCGTTTATTCAACGCCGTTACAGAAAACAAAAAAAAAAAAAAGAAGAACAAAGTTTCCCTAAACCTTTTTATTCCTCCTTATACTCGTAATTTCCATTTCGGAAACTATATATAATGTACATGGACAGATCTCGAGATCGATGCAGGGAATCGTCTTGCAAGAGAAATCGTGAAACGTTCTAACGTCCCCCGATTTTTCTACGATTCAGGGAAACGGTTCTAGGATTCGATTATTATCTCATCAAAGTGCATCTCATCGGGATTCGATTAATTGACGACGATTAATTGGAAAGGAAATGGTGCAAACGTTTAGATAGATAGACAGAGTGGGTTGCGGGTTCCGCAAGACCGACCTCGAGATCCCTGTTCCAAGTTCGTTACGTCTCTCCTTTCTCCTGCGATCACGCGACACAGCGCGTAACGTTATTCAAGAAGTGGAAGAACGATAATACGTGTATGCATCGTCCGTGGACGACTTGTGATATAGCGGTATGTACAGTTACGTGTACGACGAAAATCGGAAGGAGGGCATCCAGGAATGACCGTGGTATTCGTTATCACTCAGGTTTCCCATTGCTGGAATGTAGCATACAGATTCTTACGCGATTCTCGATCGATATTTTACGACCGTCGTGTCCCCATCTGATGAACTCGAAGGCTTTCCAATTCCCTGGAAACTTTTCGAAACGGGGGAAACATCACGGGTAATGTCTGGCAGTGTACGACGATAAAATTCGTAGTAAAAGTTTTCTATCGACGCGGGGGCGATCTTTAGGTTTCTGTCGTTCGCGACAGTGATGCGCGCCTATCTGGCAGATATTTTTTTTTCACCTTTATTCTCTTAAGATCAAAATGGCTCGAAACTATCCATCGGCAACGCAATAATCTAAAACGCGTCAGCGTTTGCAAGCATGTTTTGCGAGTTCAACTAATTCAAGCTAATTCAAAAACGAACGTCATATTTACAGATTATCGTGTAATCGTTGAATAAAGTTCAATGTAAGGAAGAATTTAACAACTCGGAGGAAAACTCGTGAAAAATATTAATATCGAAAATATTAATATCTGGAAAGTAAAATTTTTCGAAACTCGACGGTGTATATACGAATTGCTACAGATTGTTATTGGCAGTTAGTATAGCTGTGAAGACGGTACTTTAGATTATTTTCTCCCTCGCTGGGATACAAACCGGCGACGATACATTGTTTCAAGAAACAATTTCATACGTACAGTCTACTCAAACGTGTAAACGACTAAACAACAGAGTTGCTCACGAAACTCTACAGCTACGAAGTGTCTTTCAAGTCTTTTTTTCACGTCGCGGAGTATATTTCCTCGGTGAAACCTAGCGTGTCTAACGCATTAATCGAAGCAATCGTAGATCACAGTATCCATCCGGTAGTGCATAGATATTTGCATCGAAGTCGAACGAATACACGCGAGTACGTGCGGCAAGTGCGGCGGTTGTTCTCGGTGATGGAACTCGCGGAGCAAGCACGAGAGCTAAGTGAAACAGAAATAAGAAAGAATTGGGGAGGGAGTGGGGGATGCGGAACAACCGGACGATGAGCTAACAGAAGTCGCGAAACTCGAAAACAGACTTCCTCTCGCCGACGACACACGATCTCGCGCACGCAAGATCCGGGAAAGGAAAAACCGGAGCTCGCGAGCTCTCGCGCACGGTTCTCTTTCATCGGGGTTTATTTATTTTCACGGGGCGAACAAGGCCGAGGGAACGGCGACAGTCGTCGCTGGAGAAAAAGCTTCGCCGACGCGGAAACACGCGAGACGCGAAGGTGGATGCGGAGTAGTCAAGACTCCGCGAAGAGAAGAGGGTGAGACGGGGAGGGGAAAAAAATGAGGAATGAAATTTTACGAGCCTTAACGTAAAGGCTTTACGACACGACGTCTCGAAAGTCGTCGAAGGGGAGGAAACACGTCCGGAAGGGGATTAATTTTCCCCGGAAGTAAACTTATGGGGCGCGAACGAACCTTGAACTGTTGCGCGCGAGTCGATTTTCGACCGAGGGCTGGACGAAGAACTGAAACGGCGAGATTGAAAAGAGAGGAGGCGTATAGGTTGTGCAACTTGAGGCCCGCAAAGGTGGAGGTCGTAGGTAGAAAATATAGGGCAGAACAAATGTTTTGCGTGTTGAGGAATGTAAATAATTCTTACAGCTATCTTACAGCGGTAATTAATTTGTTCTCCTTTCGGAATTGGGGTTGGAATTATTCGGTAAAGATAAAGTACGGGGGAAATGCTTGACCTTGATCGTCTTACCTGGACGAAGTTGACATTCTCGTGGTCCTTTTCGGTCGAAAGACTATTCTTCAATCCTCTATGATTCGTGGAAAATGTTCTTAAAAATCGACGCATATAAAAAACGCATCGTTATTGATCGCACAATGGTCCCCAATCATTCTATGATCATCAGTCCGCGTTACAGCATTCGATCAATTCGATGAAAATCGAACGGCAGTGAAAATCTCTGAACGTACATCACGAGCTGAAGAATTTTCAGGAAAAAAAAAAAAAAAGAAAGGGATTTTACTGGCACGAAGCGAATGGATCACTTGGTGAATCCTCGTCTCCGCTCTTCGAAAGAATAGTCATAGAGGATTAAAGCCAGACGTGTTCGTTGGACGGACATCCACGTCGTGGAAAAAAAAAAGAACGAAAAAGAAGAAAAAGAATCTTCGAAGCAGTCGCTTCAGAAGTTTTTTTCGTGAAAGGGACTGTTGTCTCTCGAACACAGAGAGAGGCAGCACCTTTGTCGGTACGTCTAACATCACACGAGGAAAGTAATCTAGATGAAGAGTTTATCTCATGACAACGCTGGCGCCGAGCGATCGTTCGTCTTCGTTTTGCGTAGCTTTACCGTTGCGAATATGTTTGTCCTGGAAGAATCGAATGATCAAAGGAAGTTTAATCAGTCGCACTGTCCGCGCTGTGTGGAGAGCTGTTCGCGAACGTTAAACAAACATTTCATTGACACAAAGTAATACCGATAGTGTCCAAGCAGTTCTTGAACTTGGAGTTTGAAATTTTCCGCTGTGAAAAGCTGTGGTAAATTTTTTTTTTTTTTTTTTTTCAAAGTGGAGAAGGTCGAACTGCTTGGGACTTCGAAAGCGTACCGTGAAGTTGCTTTCACAACGCGCTCCGAAGCCGTATTTTCGCAAATTTGAAAGTATTGCTTTACGTAGCAATAGCGAGAGAGAGAGAGAGAAAAAAAAACTACAAAATTTGGCGATCTTACATCACGATACTTTTGGAAAACATTGAGGGCAACATTGACGCGATATTTCATGCGAAGCACAAACACAAACAAAGGTGTGAAAATTTTACGGTGTATCGCGCGTGAACAACACACTTTTTGGCAACACACAAATTTCGTGGGATGGCAACGACGAAGTGCGACGATAGAAGACACGAGACGTGCAAACAAAGTTCTTCGAGCTAGAAGAAGATTCTTATTACGCCGCGAGAGGAAATTAGAATCCATACGAAACGGAACACGACCAAGTTTCACTTGATTTTCACCGAAAAATACAAAAAACAACGAGCGTGGGAAACGCGATTATATCACTGTGCAATAAACAATGTCAGGAAAAAGGAAATTAAATTTTTTGCAAACAAAGAGCGTGTATGACTGAATGTTGCGATAGCGCGTACCGCGTATCAAATCGTTTCAACGGCCAGAAACTAATTTACACGGGTAATGGACGAATACGCGGACATGAAGTTTCAAACTCGAATCGTCATGTTATTAATTGCAGAAACTAGTTTACACGATCGTTTTTAAGCACAGTGTGTGTGGCGCAACGCGCGTCGCAATTATTTATGCGTTCGTTCGGCCATTGACAGGAACGATTTGTGGAAACTGACGGATTAATTCCGCTCGTTGGCGCGCGTCAAATACACACTTCTAAAACTTCTTCCTTCGTGTTTTATTCATTCAAGAATTTCCACGCCGTGAGCAAACGAGTGGCAAATTCTTTGGGAACTTTTTAATTCAGCAGATTTGCTACCCGTACTTCCTCTGAACGCGGTATTAATTATTCGAGATTCCGCGAAAGTTTTCGAGAAGTTTACGTTAGTATCGTCGAATCGTTGCGGCGTTCCGCAACGACGGATCCAACAAGAGTTACGATTGAAACATCATCCATAACGTTGTTTTCACCATCGCGATCACATAGTGCCCACGCTTAACGTCAACACGTTGATTTCGTCATAGACAAGCGTCGACGAAAGCAAGATAACATGGTACAACTATGCTTGCAAACAAAGAAAAAAAAGGGGGGGGGAGTGGATTACAGGCTTTAACGTTTTCAAGAAGCAATGGGAATAGCGCTACGTGGGAGACTTGCGAACGGTCATTCGTGGTGCAAAGGTGGAGACGATAAAATAAAATTGGTGGTACGCAATGGCAAAAACTCAAAAAACGCGAGCAAAATTCCTTGGGGGGGGGGGGGGGATTATACAACGAATCGTGTGTTCCGAGTATCCCTGCCACAGACTGTGGTTCCAATACGAAATGTTTTCTTTCGGGATCTCGGCGTGGTGTAACGCTTTAATAAACTTTGAAACCGTGATAAACCGTTTCTGGATGGAGGTCGCTAGGGAGAGTGAAACAACGACACTGATTCGGCGAGGAGGAGGCGAGCGAGGAGAAGAGAGGTTTAATAGATTTATTGCTGTTTCTTCTTCTTCTTCTTGTTGACGGAAGCGTCCACTCCCCAAAGATCGTACCACGGTCCGCAAGTATTTTTGTCCCTTTCCCGATCGGAATCCCTGCGGAGTTTAGTTCTGGGAAGAAGAGTCTTCTCAGCCACTGTTTGATCCTTCACCACGATGCAGCTGTACGTGGATTCCTCGTCGGACGCCTCCGTCTCGCTAAAGTTCTGGGTCAAGCCGTCCTCGTCGTCCGTGTACTTCTTCCTCCTCTCGTTCCTCTTGGCCTCGTTGCTCTCCTTCAGCTCGGCCACGATCATGTTACGCTTAGCCTCCAGGCTGCGTTTCCTCTCCTTCTCGATGATCGCTTTTCGCGAAACGTTCCCCATGAAGTAGGACCTCTCCTCCTGATGCATCCGATATTCAGATCGCTCGACCGTCTTCGGCCTTTCCGCCGGCGTTGGAAAATCCTCGAAGTAATCGGATTTTTCGGGGACGTGGATCCTCTCCGCGGGCTTCGGTTCCTCGTGGTGAGACTCGTTGGTGATGGTCACGTCGCTGTTTCTTTTCTCCAAACTTTGCCGTGATCCGGGACTCCCGTCCGGAGTTTGCTTCTTGTTGCTGGTGTCGTCCGCGTTCGCCTCGTCCTTCGCCTCCTTCTTAATCATCTTGGGTATGTCGACCAGCGATCGGTGCTGCCAAAGAGCCATGCCTTCCAGCACGTCCGAGTCTCTCCTGAACCTCCAGAAGGATTTCGTTCTCTTGACGAGCTTCGGGCTCTTGGACTCTTGGACGTCGAAAGCTCTGCCTGTCTGTATCAAGTGGGCAACGGCGGTCGTTTGTCGTGGAAGCAACGGCTTCCGGCTATCGCCCTTCAACGTGTTGTTGTTCGTGTCGTTCTTCTCCCCGAGTTGCGGCCCGTTCCGCTGGAACTTCTGCAGATTACTCTGGCCGAGATTCTGATAACCGTGCCTCTCGATCACCTTGGTCCTTTCCAGCTTCGTCTCGAAATTAGACTCGTAGCCGCGCTCCTTGTCTATGGAGGATCCGCTCTCCCGGACGTATCTGGTCTCGCCGTAGATGGCCTCCTCCTTGTCGGAGTACCTACGCTCTCGATAGAGGTTGCGAGGGTCGGTCGGTCTTTCAGGAGCTTCCTCGGACGGCGGTCTCGGCCTCTCGAAGCGGCGGCTCGACGCGCGCTCGATGTTTCTATTTCTATCGGGATTCTTCTCGAAAGCCCTCTCTCTTTCGTAAGTGGAGGAGGTGGTGGTGGTCTTCTGGTGTGTGGTAGTGGTGGTGGGCGACTTTTCCAAGTATCGTTCTCTCTCTCGCTCGAATCTCTGGGCACCGCGGTTCCTGTCGCAGTCGTTGTACCTCTCGTACGGCGGCGGAGGTTGCTGCTGCTGCTGTTGCTGCTGCTGCTGCTGCTGCTGCTGCTGCTTCTCCTCTCTGCGCTCTAAACTTCTGTAATCGTTCCTTCGTTCTATAAACTTTGGAGGACTGTGCTCCCGAGCGTACTTCTGCGCGGTTTGTTCCAGTTTCTGCGCGATGTGCTCCACCTTTCTGCCAGTCTCTGGTATGGTGATGGTGCTCTCGTCGTCGGTGCCCGAGGACGTGGCTGTCGACGTCTTCTCGTTCTCGTACTTTGACTCCTCCTGAGCGGCGCGATAACCGCGACCGCGAGTGTTGCGGTCCTGGCCGTCTCCTCTCTCTCCGTAATACTTCTTCCCATCGTACTTCTGGTAATCGATCCTCCTACCGTACGTATCTTCCTCCTCTTCCTCCTCCTCCTCCTCCAGCTCGATCTCGTCCTCCTCCGTCTCCTCCAGCTCCTTCGTTCTCTTCGATTCTCGACGAGCTTGCTCCACCGACTCGTTGTTCCTCCTCGTCGACTTTCTCGCCGATGATTGTTCATCGTTGCTCATTCCCTTGTTCTTCTGACCAGAGTTACCGCGGCCACGGTTGTCGTACTCGTTTTTCTGCGATCTCTCCTGCGTTTTCTTCCCCGACTTCCTCGCTGGCCCGTTCTCCATCGTGCCACGACGCTCGGCGAAGTCGCCACCCCGTCCGTTCTTGCGCTCCTGCGTGTCGTAATGACGACTCTGGTACCGGACCTCGCCATTCTCGTTGCCCTGACTCGCGTTCGTCTCTGCCCAAATGTCCATCGCGGTTCTGTAAAGATGCCAGCTCTTCTCGTCCCTGGGTATCGTCTTCCACGAGTCGTTTTCCCAGTCCTTGCCGCCGGACTTGTCCTCCTTCTGTTGGTGTTGCTTCGCCGTCTCGGTTATTCTGTCGGCGCGCGGCTTTCTTCGTCGCTGTCTGCGTTTTCGTGCGGGCTCGGGGTGAGTAAAAAAAAGAGAGAGAGAGAGAGAGAGAGAAAAGAAAAGAGAAGAGAAGAGAATAGAATAGAATAGAAAAGAAGAAAAGAGAAGAGAAAAGAAGAGGAGAGACGAGATGAGACGAGAAACGGAAAGAGAAGAGACGAGAGAAAGAACCAAGAGCCAAGTATGTACGTGGATGGGATTAGTTATGCGGCTGTCGAGCTTTGTGGTCGCGGGCATTGCGATATGCGAGGATGGGGAATATGGCTGCTGGCATCGCGCGGGGGCGAGCCTTGGAGAGGTGAATGAGCCACCACCACGCCGTATTTTATTTCCATCGACCACGATAACGCATGCGGAATCTACAAATCAGGAGAGAAAACAACATGGTGACTCTGAATACAAGCCTACGAGGTTCGATGGTATCGAATGGATGTTGGATACGATAGAGTCCTTTTATCATCTTTTCCCTTTAAAAGAATGAAAAGAATCTACTCTACGGTTCTCTCTTCGTCGACTTGTCCGTTTTCGATCGTTTCTTTCTTTTTTTTTTTTTTTTTTTTTTTNTTTTTTTTTTTTTTTTTTCAACATTACGCGAATTCTCTGAACTCATCTACGCAGCGTGTGATAAGAGTCGAATGACAAACGTGACTCTATAGTCGCAATGATCGCGGGAATAATTCGATGACAAAGGTGAAATATACATATGTTTCTGCATACGTTCTACGATCGAATCTTCGTGTCGAGAAGTGAGTAAGAAGTATTTAATGGAAAAGAAGGACGTTAGGTAGAACAGAGAGAAGCTACGATTCTACGACATACGTAACACTCTATCTTCGTACATTTCGTTAGAGAGAAAAAAAGATACCGAGGGGGGAGGGGGGAGAAAAAAAAAAGATACCAAAGATAACAAAATTACCGAGAGCGGGAATAAAATACAAAGCTTCGAAAAGTTGACGAATCGGACAGGCAGCAAGCGTATTATCTACAGGTTTACCAAACAGTCGTCAACTACTATCGACGAGATTCAATTAGAGTTTCCAAAGTGTCTTTCACAGTGACGAGAGAGTATATCTCGCAGTGATATCGCACTTACCTCATGGCCTCGTCGTCGCTGTAGTCGATGTCGGGCTGAGCCGGTGGCTCGTTTGAGAAACCACTGTCGTTACTGCTGTGAAGAGACGTGACGACTTGCGGGGGTGGAACCGGCGGAGCAGGTGGCTGTATCCTACGGCCGCCAGCCAAAACAGTGGGCAAGGTGCCCGATGGACGGATCTAAAGAAGACCCGGCATGAGAAAGTTTATCACATTTACATTTCGTTCTTTTGGTTAAACAAGGAGACATCGGTTATCGTCGGGGTAGGTCGACGTGTCTCTCTTCTCCATCTCCCGATTCAGAGACACTCTGTTCCGTGAACTTTACAATCTCTCTCTCTCTCTTTCTCTCTCTCTGCTTGAGAATCTTTAAGTTCGTTAAACATGCCTCGCGTCAGAGTTTCTAGAGTTTGCGAATTTTATGAAATAAAAAGCGGAAATAAATTCGAAAGTTGCTTTCAACTTGCTTTCACCCCTCGTTTCTCTAATTTCGTTTGTCCATCTCGACGTCGAGTTGACGTAACGGTGGAAAGTTAATGCAAAGGACGGGCTGAACTTGCAAGCGAAATGGAACGATTAAATTTCTAAAATTCCATCGAGGGTCGTGGATCGTTGTTGGCTTTTCATTTTCGTGTGTCGCGACGTGTCAAAATTCCGTGTGACGGGTGACGGATCGAAACGTGGGGGTAGGGGGGGGCGCGGTGATTTTGATATAAAATATCAAATTTCGAGTAATGCTGGTAACAAATTGCGTAGAGTAACGTAGAATGAAATTCTCACCGGTTTTGTTTGACGTGCAGTAGGCGTCGCTAAATTGTGAGAACTGTTGCTATTCGGTACATTAGTAGGAGTGCCGCTGTTGTTGTTGTTGTTACTGTTGTTGACGTTGTTGCTTCCTATCCCGTGGAATCCACTCGACACTTCATCGATGCTCGGTGTCACTGGCGGCCGCGAGGGTGGAGGCTTGCACGGTGGAACAGCTTGTGGCTCCGACGCGCGACCATTGTTTGTCACGTGATTCGGCGATCTTCACATATCATCGTACATTCGATTTTAATGATAATGCTAACGATTCCGGCTAAATCCGAATCGCTGGGAACGTGAAGAGGAGGGAAACGCATCGTTTGTCAGAGGCACTTTCTGTGCTGTGGTGGAACGTCGATACCGCGATAGAACGAACGTGCCTCTCGACACGGTGAAAATTACATAATTATTCTGTCATCGCCTTTTTATCGCTTTTCAGGATTACCTCGTCCAATTATTTCTGACAAATTTGCGACTTTCCTGCTTTTCTGTTTTCATACCGCGCAGAGTTGTGCGATTTCCTTTCTCGATCGTGGAATTGTAAATACAAAACGTGTAGTCTCTCGTTGCGGAATGAAACGTTATTCGTTGAATTTTCACGATTTCTACTTTGAGTAAAACACGTGACACGTGGCTCGACAATCGTCGTCCAATTGTATCAATTTACCTTTGTAAAGCATGCTTGATGTCACTTCTTGATCAAAACTTGTTTTTCAAATGATAAATAAAACGGCAAAACGAATCGAGATTTAACCACGTGGACGGAAATATTTTTCCAAACGCTTCTTCCACAAACGCTTTTCCATCTAAAGTGGAAAATACGTTGTACCATATAACTCGCTGTTTCAAAGAATCGTTTATAAAAGATTAAGGACGCGATTAACATTTTTATGCCGCGTGGAGACTCCGCAGGCGAGCGATAAAGGCGATAAATCACGATTAAAAGCCTTTGACAAAATTTCCATCGTACCGTACCGTAAATCGAGCATCGAAATAATGGGATTTAGGAGAGTAGATGCAACAATAACACCAAGACGAGTACGTTTAATGGGAATAGCTGCATCGATATCGCCCATTGCCCGTTATCGTTCTAGATTAGCGTAATTGCATTCGACCCGTGCAATTGTTAGCAACGAACACCGTAACAAGATCCGTCCTGATATCGTACGGGCCACCCAAAAGCACAGACTTTCCTGCCTCTGTTAACTTACCCCAGACTATCGTCGATAATAATTTCTGTGTATGCCAGTGGGAACCATCCGGAGCTCTGTGTGCGCAGATTCTCCCCAAATTGCCAGCCTTTCTGACGATCTCCTAATAAGGTAGTTTCGTGAAATAGAAATAACCATTTACGGTGCTTGTTTGTGCTTGAGAGGGTAATAGTAGTAGTGTACCGTGGTCGACAAGGGATCGTGATTTCAAAGCGCCGATTTATCTTCGTCGGAAATAATACGCAAAGAAGGGGAATGTAATTTCGCCAAGACCCGTGGTTGACACTGTCACGTTGCTAAAACGTTTCGTCGATTAAAAAAATTTGTGAACTTCAGAGCTGTTATGAAAGGAAAAAAAAAATGCCCTATTCAAGATAATTAAAGATTTTAGTTGAAACTAAATTACACGCTTGAAAGAATGAAAAATTCTCTCGTGGCCGCGTGAGAGTATCGCGTGCAAATCCGATGTGTTACAATTTTTCTCTATTCCGGCGGTATAATACCCGGTGCTGTGGCACGGTTATCAGGATTTATCGTGTAAACGAATTCCGAAACGTATCTGGCTAATCTGACGGGGAAACTGCGTTGCGGTCAGAGACGGGGAATATAATTTCACGGGGAAACAGACGCGTATCTGGGAAGCGGGCGCAAGCGTTCAGACATCCGGTACTCACCCATCAACGCGATGAGATCGCCCTCCAGGAAACTCAGCTGATTTTCCCCGGAGCTCAAATAGGCAAAGAGAGCTCTCGCGAGGGGTGCATCCCCCCAGCCACCGGAGCTCACCCCCGTGCCGCTACCGCCGCCCCCTCCGCTGCCGCTATTGCGTGATGCCGGAGGCGCCATGGACCGCGGCCTTGGTGGAGTTTCCGGAACCTCTGCGAAAATACGCAGGCAAGCGAACGATTAACCCGGCTCTCGTTTCTCTCTCGTAACTTGCACGTGGCGTGTCGGGGTATTAGAATTCTAGAGAGTTTCGAGTGGCGAAGGATTTTAGTCGAGTTTCTCCAACCCCTCCCACCCCCTCTCTCTCTCTCTCTCTTTCTCTCTCTGATCCTGTTTATCTGCGGTACAATTTCATTAGCATTAGAGAAAGAATCACGCTAACGAGCCGCGAATTTGTCTCGGCAATAGAGATAGAACACACACGCACACATTCGCGCGAGACGAGAGAGAGAGAGAGGTTACGCGTTCCACGAGTTCACCGTGATTTCACTTTACCGCGCTCTGTTCCCGTGTTCTCGGGTTAGAAGAATGGCGGTTGGCCAAAAACGATAACGGTTGAAACGGAGTGCTTATTTGAACATTTTTATGAAGTTCACGTTCTTCCTTTCTGTATTTTTTTCTCTCTTCTTCGTTTTCTCTCTGCCTCTCTCCATTGCACAATCTATTTTGCTCCTCGCATCATTGCCAGCGAATTTATGCGGTTGGCTTGCGCGCAAGAACGTTGCTTTTGGGAAAACTTTTGCGCCACGGAGAGCGAGAAAGTTTCGCTTTATTCGAGAGCTCCTGTTCAGCTCGTGCGGATCGAACTGTATTTTCAGACACGTGAGAGAAGATGGCGAATGTTTGATAAATTTTGCTCGGAGATACATTAGCTCTCGGGTCTTGAGAGTCTTCGTCGTCGAACATTGATGAATATTGATTAATACGAATTTTTTTTTTTCCTCCCTCGACTCGGAGAATAATGGGGAAGGTCGCAGAATTCTGAAGCGCGCGGTGTACGGTCGACAAATGGGTATTCGATATTCGATACAGGGAATTCTCTCTCTCTCTCTCTCTCTCTCTTTCTCTCGGCTCTCTCCAACTGTTTTGCAAGCACTTCTCTATCCGATCGTGTTGCACGCGTTTGTTACGCGTTCAAGCCCGATGTCGAATCGTTGGAAACGTACTCGACCATTGGCTCTGGCTAAAATAAAAAGGACTGTGGTGTCGTGTTTTCGCGTTCTCCATCACCACGTAGCGTGTCCGTACGTTAGCATTACATCGAACAACGTCGGGATCCGATCTGAAATTTTCGATTTTTGTTTACCGTCCGTAGCTGCTACGTCGGCATTTTTTATATTCATGAGATATGAAAATCTCCCCGCCGTTGGAACAAAATTTCGCGTTATTCCCCGCTTGAAAATCTCTGATGAAAAATTCACTGGGGGGGGGGGGTGTAGGAGAGGGAAAAAAAGTGAGGGCTAACCTGGATCCAGTGACAACGTCGAAGCGTGCAGATTGGCTTCTGACCTTGCTCTAGACAACGCGGATGAAAGATGAGAGGTTGGACCTTGATAAGTGGCACTTGGCACATTTCCGGACGGCGGTCCAGGTCGAAGTTCCAAGCAAGAGCTGTCCATGCTTCTGGTCTTTCTCAATTGTGAGCTCATGGTCAGCTCCGAACCGCCGTTCTCCTCGTCCTCCGGCCAAAACGAAACTTGCTGAAGCGAAAGAAAATGTTTACGTTATAGAACCGCCGATAGATCGTTTCATTTTTCCGTGTGCCGACAAATCTTTTCATCTACAGATATCTCGACTGTATCGACGTTCGATAATTACTGAAAATTCGAAATTAAATTTGGCGGCGGTTTCGTATAGTAGCAGAATCCGTAGTAGCAAATTTTGCTACGTTTTTGAAATCGTTGGTTGCAAACTTTTCAAAGCTTGGAAAGATACATTCGCGAGGAACGAATAGAATACGATAGCGGGAAAATATTCCACTGTGTCACTCACTCTGAGCCTGGAAGCGAACATATCTTCCACGGATTGGGGTAAATATTCCCTGGTAGCAGCCACCTCGCGCCACTTATCAACCGAGGGATGCAGAGCAGCCAACGCGACCTCATGAAAACTCGCATAATGTTTCGCCAAGGAGCATTGTCGCTCGAGAACAAAGCCGTACCTTCTTCGTTCCTGAGTCATGGCCTGAAAAAGAGCAGAGGAGAGACCCGATAGTTGGCCCGTGTTCGTTCATTATTCTCCTTTCGTTCGTGGGCTGATCTGACCGATCTATTTACGTCAACGTCGTAAGCCGTTGTACGCAAATCTGATCGTTGCCTTTAATTATCGTTGCCTGATAATACCTCTCTCGGGGGAGGGTATTCGAGACACTGCGAGATCATCCTGGCTTTTTCTTTTTTTTTTTTTTTTAAGCTCACCGTCTCCGTTGCTACGTACTTACATTCTTCAAACTCTGTTCACAAAAGGCGTCCAGCTTGGACTTCTCTTCCTCGAGAATCTGCATATTCTTGAGCTCCTTGTCCATGGCCAGTCCACTCTTGCTCGCGCCCCTCGACTTCTTTCTCTGTTTCTTCATCGTGGCCGCCGCTTTGCTGTAAGTTTCGGACCTGGTCTTGTGCTGCTGTAGAAATTTCTTCTGCTCGCTCTGCCAGAGAGAAAAGTATCGTTCCATTATTCAGATGTCCGCGTCGGACGTCGGTCGCGGGACGTAGATAGATATTCATCCCGGTTGGCGCAGCCGGCAGAATCGCGCAGTAATTGTGGGACATACTCACCTGGACGACCTTGGTGTCTTTCTCCAGGTTCGTCTCGAGAGGGACCAGTAGGTCGACGTAGAACGCTTTCAGCTGAAAGCAAGCAAACGGCCGTGCTAGTAAAAGTTCAAGACAGTGGAAAATTTTAAAGCACCGAACCGAGTAGAAGTGAATTTGAAACGAGCTTAGGTAATGAGGGACTTTAAGCGTTCCCGTGCAAGTGCGAAAGAGCCAACCCTCTCCCTTCTTCCTTCCCTCCCGGTTTTCTTTCCCCGGTCGCGCGATGTTGCCGACTAATTTACGAACCGCGGCCTGTCTGGCCCGCTTTTTTCAAGCTCGCAAGAAACGCTGTAACCGAGTTAAACGTGATCTCGTAAAATTACACCCTTGGCGCATTGTCGCACGTTTGCGATTCTGTTTTTCACCGGTTTTTACCGACGTTTCGGAGGTCGGCGATTCACTGTGGCGTGCTTTACGAAATACTTGAGCGTTATGGAATATTTAAAGGGAACAAGGAGGACAAGTTTTCCAAAATTATCGATACACGCTTAGAGTGTCAAAAATCTATCGGACACGACGAAATAAAAGTCAGGAAATTCATCAATTTGAGCCCGAGTTGTTGTGGACGAGTAACGTGGGCACGTGGAGTCGGTTGAGATTCTTTTTCTCATTTTCTCTGCGCAGCTTAACGGGCATTGATTAGAGCCAGCGTTTCGATCAAAAGTACGTTTCCGCGAATGGCCAGTCTTCGACCGGTACTTGATATCGCTGTCTGTGAAAAGCGATCGTCGAAAGGGAGGAGAAATGCCGGTTCGAGTGGCGTTGCTGGTGCATTGAAGATCTCCGACGTAATTTACGCAATCAGCCGTTTTCCACCAAGGATCTTACCAGGCTTTAAGCAACGTGGCCTCTTTCAGAAATTTTCTACGCTCGTGTTTCTACTTTGTTCGACGGAAGTCGGGAATATTTTTCCTTCGTCCACTGTCGAATTAAAAACATTTTTCCAAGCCTAAATATCCTGGCGTTCAGGTCGAACGGCAACCCAATTTATTTACACGCCAACCCGCCAAAAGGAATATATTCGTTCGCATTGGCGCGGAGTGGATTCGAGATAAATTCGTAAATTTTTGATCCGAGCGAAACGGGGGGAGATCAGATGTATAAAATATTGTTAAGCGACGTTACTTTTGCGTTGCACGCGTCAAACAAATCACCGGGATTTTTTCGCGTGTTTCGTAACTCTTGAATCCGATGCCAACTCTTCTTGAAACGACGTAACACACGCACGATTGATTTTATTTAAACGTTTGACAGTTTTACGTTCGGCTTTCTCGTCGTCGCGTAGAAGAACGTGGAGTTATTTATTTGTCGCGGCTTTTCTTTTTTCCCCCCTTGCTCTGCGCCCCCGTATGTGTTTTTTTTTTCTCTTTTCTTTCTTTCTTTTTGCGAGTCGATCAAAAGCAAAATTGCCGGGAAACGTTTCAGCCTGTGATATATCGGGCTTCTCCGTACAAAATGCTCGAAATTTTATTCCCGGCAACGGGTGTTTTGATTTACAAAGTCTCGGATTTAATTAAGCAGTTCGGAAACGAGGGTGAGTCGAACGCGAAACACTAGTCTGCAGTTTTAATGTACGTGTACGTAACTTTCGCAGTCAACTTTGCGATACGTTTCCGGACTGCGCGTTCAATTGCTTATTTCGCCGTACTTTTCGCTCGTCAGTTTGTCTCGATCGCGGCAAATTTGGCAGCAAAATGATTCCCGAGACCTACGGCCATTGAGAAATACACGTGTATTGTGAAATCCTTGCTCGCGTTTTTTATTTTCTTTTTTTTTTTTTTACATTGCAAACTGGATCGTTTTTTCTCCGACTCAAATTTCGTTCAAAAGGAGTTAAAAAATAAAAGGAAGTTCTCTGCGAGAAGTAAGCAAATTCACACTATTCAATTACAAAAAAAAAAGATACAGCTTTTGCACCAAGTATCTCTTTCTCCTCCTCGTGTTTCGTGCGAAGATTTTTCGAGCAAAGTAGGCCCGGGCCTCCTCTCTCTATCTCGTTTCTCGCGGAGCGCGGACTCTCGGAGAATGGGCCTAGGGAAAAGCACGACGACGGGGGCTTTTCAAGACGTGAAAGTGCAGCATAAAAAGCCAGCAAAGTCACGGACCTTGTGAGTCGACGAAGCGCTGGGGCAAACATCCCTGTCTCTTTCTCATTCTCTGACGCTCGTCTCTTCCCTCTGTGTGCAAATTTGAACGGCTGGGAACTCGCGTCAGCGCCCTCTGGAGCAGCCCAGCAGCCCACCCCACTCGACGTCTAGTCTCCCGGTTGAACCGGATGGTTCGCTTTCATCGAGCCGAATCCTGGGCACTTCCGGGTGCCGTGCGTCAATGGAACGTCTAACGTTGCGGCAGCGCGAGTTTTACGTCCGCGTTTCAATATTCATTAGAGGGTTCTGGGGGAGTTTTCCCCACCGCGTTTTCACCGCCGCTTCTTTCTCGCCGGGAACAGACGAAACGATATACGTTGTGCTGGAAAAACCGGTCGGTTCGCGTTTGAGCCTCGGATCTGCTCGCAATTAGAAAAACAAATCTGGATTCGAGGATGTGATCTTAATGGTTTTTACCACGGCTTTTCCAGGAAAATTCCAATTTCATTCAAACATCACGTAGCTTGCAAAGTTTCGCTATTCAATTTATTCCCGTCTTGACTTGGGATTTCAATAGAAAAGCTAGAGAGCTAGAATAATCAGCGAGAGATTCATAGGACAAATTACTCGCGTTAATTACTTCGACAAATGCCGATATGGTATTATACGAACGAAGCAATCAGCTTGCCATAACGAGAAGTTTCGTGGAGATGCATCGTTCGTTCTCTGTTGCAATTTTCACAAAACATCAAATTAATAATTTTGTAGGAAAGTCGGATTTTATCGCGATTCGTCTATAGAGAATTTGAATGAAAAGTAGCGCCGATTCGGTGAAGTTGAAACGAATAGTATGGGAAAGTTGTTGGAATTAAGAATCTCTGTGTTGCATCTATATAACGCTTTCGATTGAATCTTCATGGAAATACATTTGGAGCTGGATACCGGCGCGCGATAGTGAATTTATTTTATGCCGTTTCCATGTATGCGGGGGAAAGTTTTGCAGGAACGACGTCTCCGTCAACACTCTCGACTCGATTGCCATATCTTAGAACGCTTTTGCCCATTCGCGATAAAAAGAGAAAACAAGGCTCGTCGATTGGCTTCCTTCCAGCTAGGGACATTCTTCGGCAACCGAAGAGGTGAACAAAAAGTTTGCCGTATCGCGTACCTTTCGCTTGGCAAAAAGGAAAAAAAAATCTCGAGACTCGTTAATATATATCGGCGCAGTCTCCCCCCCAGGTTGCTGATTCATTGTTTCGGAAAAAGGAAAAACGATTTTACTCTGGAAAAAACGATTAACGAGAGAGCTCGTCGAAATTCGTGCAAAGTTGCAAAGACCATTCGAGACCAGATCGAGAGAGAGAGAGAGAGAGAGAGAGAGAGAGAAGGGGAGAGATGCTTGCGCAACAACAATCGCAGGAAGAGCGGACTCTCTCGACAAAGGTGCGATGTTTATAATGAAGTCTCTTCCCGGCTCGAGAACTTTTACCTTCCAGACGTTCGCTGGCTTGCGAAACTTCCCCGGTGTACGAAACAGCTTTGAAGAGCCTTTGAGACCTTTCAGAGCCGTGATCATTAAATTCGTAACTTGTTGCTGTTTCAGAAGACCCAACGTCGTGCGGTGTGCTTTTCGTTCTGTCTGTTTCAGTGCTATCTGCCGAATCGAATCTGTGCATCGTTCGCCGTAGCAAAAGAAAATCGCGTTGTAACGCGTAGCGATTTCGGCGATGTGTACGATACTTGGTACGAGAGTTGCGTCGAAACGTATTCTGCACGCGGTTTCGAGATTGTCCAAAAGTGGAAGTTAGGACAAGAGGCGGGGGGGAGTTCGCTCCCCCGACGTATCGTCTGGCAAAAATATATTTTTAATATCCGGCAAACAGGGCATTCAGAGGCAGAGTCCCAATACCTGAATAATGGTTCGATTGAAAAATTTGCAAAGGGTCGTGTTGAATAACCGTCATTGAACACCATAGAAGACCCTCCGAGTCGCGACCTTTCACCCATGGTCCATTGGATTCTCCACTAATCTGCGCGAAAGGGTCCATCGGCCCTTCCCTCCCTCCTCTCCCCCTTGCAGACGATCGTTTCACCGACACGCAATAGCTTCAAAAGGTTCAAAAGGTAATGCAAGCTGCTCGAATTTGAGCCAGACCACTCGAAGGATTCATCTTCGCTTCCTCCCTCTTTCGCTGTTCCACGGAACCCTTTCTCTCGCGCCCCCTTTGCCAATCCACTTAAGAACGCAAAGCTGTTCAGCTACTGGATGTTTTCTTTCTCGCGATTCCGGGTTCTGCGATTCCAATCCCGAGTGGCCCCCTCGCGTTTGACGAATGGAAATTTTCCCCGTGGAAGGCTCAGACGACCGACGGCATCGATCGATCTTGATGCACGATCGTTCCTTTCGTTTATCATTTATCGTCGTCTCCGTTCTTTCCGCGTTCGCGAGAAGACAACGGGAAAATTGCCGCACTCGCGCGGCGTTTAGTCTTTCCGCGGAATAGTCTGGAATAATCGTGAGAAAACTGTATCGTCGACAAGCGAAGTTGAAAAAAGCTCGTGGCTTGGCGAGAGTTTTCATCGTTTTCATCGAGGCGACTTTTCCCAAGGGAAGTCGCTTGTCCGTTCTGACAGTAACTACATATCGAGTCGGGTTTCCACGCTTTTTCTCCTTTTTTCTTGTTTTTTTTTTCCTCCCTCCCTCCCTCCCCACGATGCTTCGCCAGTGATCGCGGCTACGAATTACACGTCACGAGAACCATATCTCAAAAGTTTCTCTTTCGCTCCCCGGAGGAACAAACGGAGCCATTCGAGCCGGCATCGCGCGATCAATCGATGACGTGTACTCTTTTGCAACGCCAGACGAGGGAAAAAGGGACAGAGAATTTTTTCATCCCCCTCTCTTTCTTAGTCGCAGAAACGGGATCAATAGTCTGAATAGACATTGTAATAGAGATTTCTGACAGTCAAACAGTCATTTGTCTGTCAATTCTATTCTTTTCTATTTCTTTTTTTTTTTTTTTTTTCGTTTCGATACAGAAACAGAGCCAGAAATTATAAGAATTATTTTAATTATTCATTCCCCGGATCTCTCTTACGCAGTCGAGTTTTTCCTTCAAATTAAAATTATTATAAAATTAAAATTTCCCTCGAATTCTTGCCACGTACGAGAGTCCTCCGCGTCGGTGCGTACATTTTGTTATATTTTCAATCCGGCTTATTGGAATAACAAATTTCTCATTTATTCGGGTGGCGGCATCGGGTTTCTGTAAATTATTTTTTCCACGAGCGAAGGACGTTCTAGGCATTAATCGACGGGAATAATAAAAATGGAAATGAAGCTTTTAAATCCGAAACTCCATTTGTTCTTCCTCATTTCTTCGTCGCGTTTACGCTTCCGCGGCGTAAGAGAATATGTCTTCTCATCTGTGAAAAAAATTGTTTCATTGAAGCGGAGCGCATACTTCGTTACTTTGAAAATTAATTCACTTCGACACGGACATCTACAGACAGATAAATATTAAACTTCAGTTCTTCGTGCAAGGTTTTTCTTCTTTCGTACGTTGCACGAAAGATTTTATAATGCATCCGTAATAACGACCAAATACAAGAAGAACACACAGAACGTACAAACGATGAACGAATACCTAAACTTTCTCTAGAAAGATAAGAAAAAGGGGCGACAAACTTTCAATTTTGTCAAAATTTCGAAAGCGCTCGAGCGAGTAAAAAGCTATTGAAAGAGTACGCAGAAAGGAGAGTATGCGTATGGAAGAATCTATCCTCGTAATAGTCGGAATATCTGTTCATTCACGGCCTTGAAGATTGAGAGCCAATTTGACCTCCTTCCACTTTCCCGTCGTCGGTGTTTCAGTCTTCGGACGTCGGGCGTCGCAGTCGATTTTCAGCCTTGGAGAAAAATGCGATAATGCCGGTGACGCTTTCCAGGTATTACCCTTCCAAATTGAATTAGCCCCTTCGGCCAAGAGGAAGGAATCGGCGTCGTTTATCTTGTTGAGCGGATGCCCGAGTGCACCGGTGGGAATGATATCGACGATAAAGGAGACCGTGAACGCTCGAGATCGGAACCAACAGCCCCAAAACAAACTTTCATGCAATCCGCAATATTTCACCTGCCGGAATTAAATTTTAATTTTTACGAAACTTTTCACGAGATTCTCTCTCTGTAGCAAATTAGCATTACGCTGTGATATCGCCCGAATCGTTGCGCGATCTATCACGAAGGAATTCACTCGCGAATATCGAAGTAAACGGTACATTTGTAATCGCTGTTGCGAAAGCATTTCTCACATTTTTTTTCCTCGGTAGATTAAACTGCAACAATTCGCTAATTCGAAGCTATGTAGCAGGAAAATTCCAATGAAAAGGATATATTCACGGTACGATAAAATTTTCCAAAAAGAAAAAAGAAAAAAAAAATGGTCGAGTCGTTTCAGTCTCTGACTCTGGAAAAAAGATGGAAAGATATTTCCACTTATTAAAAATTCTACGCGAGCATTCGAGACACTGCTGTTTCGAAAGATATTTCATTTGTTTATTTCGTTTCATTTTCGTTTCGCCGAAACATCCAAAGATCGCGGACGAGCGGGCACCGGAGCCACTGATAACTCGCTCTCGACCGCAACTCTGATCTCGTTACCTCGGATGGTCGACGTTCGTCTTCAAACCCATAAAACTGATTCAACGGCCGGACCGAATTGTTCCTCCACTGTATATTTCCGCGCGATTAGGCTTGGGGGAGGGGGAGCTCGATAGAGGTGCGAGACATCCCCCGAGTGGAAGTGGCGCGAAAGGACACGTTGGCGAATGTTGCCAGACGCGACTGAAGTCTGACGTAATCTCCGGGAATGGAAGCCGAAGGGGAATCGAGGCGAGGCGAAGAAAGCATGAAAACGGGGGATGGAGAAATGCGCTGTATGCGCGTTGGCCTGAGACAACGACCTTTCGTGCGTGAATGGCTTCGGATATGCGTTTCCTATAATATAGTGGTGCAACGGTGGCGGCGTGATAGAAGCGGTCCCGGGGTCGCCCGGTCGAGGGCCCGCTGAGAATTTCGCAGGAAAGGGAATTCGCACAGCCAGACGAGACATATGTACGGAACGCGGCATGAAAATATTAAACGGGGAGAAAATACGCGTGAAATGTGCGCCAACATTTGTAGGAAGATCGAACCTCGTCTACGGAAAAAGGAGGATCGGCCAATCGGCGATTTTGCGTTCTCGGAAGACTGCCATACTGATAATTAACTTCTCTCGTACTTTCGTATTTTCTTTCTTTCTTTTTTTTTTTTTTTTTGTATTTGTCCTTCGGTGCGTCAGACAGTGTTTCAAAGAGATTCTGATTTTCGTACGTTCGACGAAAGATTGTCCAACGAAGAAACATAACGAAACATCGGCGAAAATACTAACAAGGGACCACGTACCGAAATGTCAAACGTAGCTTTTGAAAAAAATACTTGACACGTATTCTTTTTTAATCGTCGATCTCGAAGGGGTGAAAATTATCCTCAAACTATATTGGGAGGTCGTATATCTGGTTACCGAAGACGTAATTTTTGTCGTAAATCGATGAAATTAGTGTCCTTCAACGACAAATTTCACGGTGTATATCATTTTGTAATTGCAGATTACTAATTGTAGCATCTACAAGTAGATACTCGAATCCAAGGACCAGTATCGACAAGCGGAATCTTTCCTCGCTCGACAATCGCTGACTATTCGTCGACGAGTCTGTTTGTTCCCCGTAGGAAGGAACAAACGCAACCGGTCGTTCAATAACCGAGCCGGTGTCGATAGCGCCGGCCCCCGAGGGCTATAAAACGCTCGGAAGGAACAGCGTCTGGAAGATACAATTATTTTCTGGCCGCCTGCTAGTCGAAAGTTATCGACTACGGTCACGTAAGAAACAATTAGTCTGGGCTGAATTGTGGAACGCGGCGGAGGACTGTCTGTGGCGGTGGCTGTGTGAAGCGGAGTCCGTGCGGTTTTCACGTCTGTGCGGACGGACCGAACGAAGTACGATCTCGTTGGGTGGGATGCCCACCCTGCGTTGGGGTGCGGTCGCAATTCCGCGGAAATCTCTCGCGCAATAACGGCTTCTCGTTATTGCCGGAAACATTGTTCTTCGTTCGCTCGAAGCTGCGAGGGATCAAAGGGGCTCAATCTTCGGAGACTTTAACGTTCGCTGGGAAACGATTCCGGCAGCGAGTACCGGCTGCTGCCGGCGGAGAGGGAGGATCGTTCATAATGGTCGGGGATCATTGTTGAGAATATTCTCCATAAAGGAGAACAGTATCACGCGACGGGAATATATTTCCCGGGGAAACGGGAGGATGGCGTTTAAACGCCAAGCGATCGAGCGAACAGTTCGTTGGGGGGGGAGAGCAGGGGGGACATATTGTTATTGAAATGAAAATGGGAATAGAAGGCAAGAAGGTACCTTCGACAATGAAACTTTTACACGGCGACATCCGTGGTCGGATTAGTGGCGAAACATAGAAGTACAGGGTGTCTAAGATTTGCCGAGCTTACAGGCGTTCGTCGGGACCACAGTTCGTCGGTTTCGCTTGACAAAGTGACAATTACGTTGTGTCGCAGCTTTTTAATCGACTCGAAGCTTTTTAAATACCACCGCGTATTTGATCTCGAGAGCTCCTCGGCGGTATCATCCCCCATTTTGAAAACACGGTGGCCCGTATCACTGTCCGCGGGGCGAAATCGTAATAACATGTCGTTACGGCCGGAACGAATTTTCACCCTCAAAAGAGACGTCTGCAGGTGTGTAATCTCACCCCGAAGGCAGCTCGGGGTCGCGCAAGGATCAAAGAGTTTTCCACGTGTTTCTGAACGGGTGGGTAGAAAAAGAGATGAAGAAAAGGGCAGGGCAGCAGGGCAAGGGTTGATGGACGGGAGCGCGGAACGAAAGACAGCAGCGAAACGGATATACGAGATAAAGGGAGGACGAAGTTGGTGATTACAGGGAAAGGGGTGAAAGACGACAGAGATGGTCTAAATGACCAAAACTCTCTTTTAACTTTCCAATTAATATTCCGACAGGGGTGGGAACTTGGCCCTCGTGCGTTTCGGTTTCTCGCGCGTCCCGCATAAATCTTCCCTACTTTTAATTGCGTCAGCCGTGGTCGTTTATTTAAATAATTCGAGACGCGAACAGGCCGCGCATCGCGCTCCCCCTCTCCTCGCTCGGAACACGATTTATTCGCTGCCTTTTCTTTACGTATTCCTTGGGAACCGGGGATTCTAAGCTCGTTACCAATGCCCGTCCTACCGTGGATCGTTGTTATAAAGTATTCACGGTTTGATTTTAGACGGCGGCTGCGGATATCCCGTGCAATTTATCGGGGTGGATGTACACACAGGGGTGTGAAAGTGCGAGAACGGTCTGTTACACCGGTCGGTGATTTATCGCGTTCCGCGCGGCGTTCTGGAAACTGGTTACTTGGAGTAACTCGCAGCATCTTGAAGTAAAAGATGCCGAGAGAAAAGAATGTAATTCAGACTTTAAAGTTTTCAGAACTCTGTCTTTCAGTTAGTTGTCGACTCCAATGGGGACAATCCCGATCGAATCAAAGCGAGACAAAGAGTACTCACGATATTCATTTCCTGTTCCTGGATCTCCTTGTAGACCTCGACGATCCTCATGAGCGCGAATCCTGCAACAGAAAGCGAATTTCGATCGTTTTTGAAGGTTGTCTCGCGACAAGGCAGATGAGCGGCGCGGCGCGGCGTGGCGCGGGACTCGCCTCGAGCCACGAGAAGGAGATTTCGCCTCGCTTGCGGTTAAAACTTTGGTCCTGAATTATTCAGGCGCGGCTGGTGTCGTCGATACTTTAATCCGCAGCCCAAGGGTGAGAGAGCAAGGCGGCGCGCGCGAGAGAGAGAGAGAGAGAGAGAGACAAGGGAGCGAGAAACACGTCGCGTTCTAACGGCGGTGATTTTCGAGTGACTTTGCTTGGAAAGCTCGCGAAAGCCTGGAAAAAGCTTGTAACAAAACTGAAAGGCAGAAAAAAGAGACAGAGAGAGAGAGAAAGAGAGAGGTACCGGGACCACCGCGATCACGACGTTTTGAGAAAGTCGCAGCGTTGATGTTTCAACGAAAACTTTCGACTCGGCCAGTTTCACCGAACCGCTGCACTGCGTGGAAACTTTTATTCCGTCTCTCTCCCTTTTCTAACTCTCCCTCTCTTTCCGTCTTATTTCCTGTCCATTTCTTTCCGCCCGAGCGGAAGTCCCGCTGGAAGAAATATTCCGACGCCACGCGGTGGTGTTTGCTGCGTTACGTATGCATGCGTTGCGTCCGGGAAATGCGATTAGGAGTTTCACACAGTGTGAATAAATTTTAGAGAAGCTTTTCAGCTTCAGTGTAGTAGGTGAAAGAGACTTGTCGTAGGACCGGAAGTAAACCGAGCCGTCTCTTAACCGAGTGAATTCGAGTTCGGCTGGAAGAAAGGGCAGTGGAATTTACTATTTCGAAGTCATGATCGCATTGGAAATCGAGTTCCTTGGCACATCGAGGCGATCGGAGTTGCGTTTAGGCGGTTCATTCACTGGCATCGATAACGTTTAATCGAAAAATTTGCTCCGTCAAGATCAAAAGACTATAAAAGAAGAGGGGGGGGGGGGGGAGAAACGAAACGTAGTAGGATATTCTTAAGTTTGATCGACTAATTAAAGTTTTAATTAAGTTAGATGAACGTCAATCAAGTCTAAGTTTAAATTAGATTATTAAGGTATCTGTAACAAAATTGGAGAAGTTCTCGGTCCGGCAATGGACTGGCCTTTGGTTCGCCCCAACTTTTCGCCGTGTGAAAACTTATTGTAATCGAAGCTGTTAAGCGTACACGCGGGAACTTGTTCGCGAATTTCAACCAAACGAAAAGTATCCGAGGATAAAATATTCATAAAGCTCGTAGCCGGACGCGGTAAGAACTAAATCCACTGTGAAATATTAACTGTTATCCGTCGCAGCGTTCGAGCATTTAATTAAACGCGGCCGGCGTTTAATTTCCTTGTTTTTGTTTTTTTTCTTTCCAATTTTCTTGTTCGAGAGGAAAATGCACAACTGCCGATGTCACGTTCACCGAATCTTTTTACAACCATTCGTTCCTTTAGCCCGTACATCAACGTCAACTTTAACGTACGGCCAAGATATACATTCTCCTCCCCATTTTCTTCTTCATTTTCTTTTTTTTTTCTTTTACTCTCCTCGCATAGATAGTTTGCCGTGACTCAACTAAATCCATAAAACCGGTAATATTTTAGATACCTTGAAATCGTGGCCTGGCTCGTTTCTTCATCACACTCGAGTTACATTAAACAACGTTATCATCGTGAAATTTATCATCGTTTCGGTTAATATAAATTTGACGACGGACATTCTCGAAAAATATCATCGCTGTGGCGTTAAAAAAATATTCCGACAAAGGACCTCGTAATCTTTTTACGATTCGATATTGCGTTCTACAGTCTGTAGTAAAAACAGAATTTTTTTTTTTTAGATCGAGGAAATAAGTCGAATATGATCCGTTGAATTTTCCAGTATTTCCCGACGTTATCGTTCACGCGTACCTCGCGATAAAATAATATTAAAAAAGTATACATTGTGAAAGTGTTATTCGTCGATTTATAAACACGACGGACAGAAGTAAATTGCGCGCGAAGGAATCGCTTGGAGGAAGGAATGGAAAGGATTACAAGAGATCAAAATCTTGTCGAGAGGTTGTCTCTTTGGATCTCCTTCAATTCCCGAGTTAATGTATATATGTGTGTGTGTGTGTGTGTGCGGATCGAGGGTAACGTGCTGGGATTTCTCGACATATGGGATTTCCTTTCCTTGTCACATTTAACCCCGCACGAATTGCAAAGGGCTTCCTACGTGTAACGAGCATGCACGTTTCCGTAGCCTTTCAGCCGAAAGGTTTCCCCGTAATGATCGACGACGTGGTAATAATTCTACCGCGTTGCTTCCTTTCTTACCTCACTTGTCCATTAATTTAACGTTGTCTCGCCGAGAAAGATTCTCTCTTTCAATTTCTTTTCTCCTCTTGTCGCCAGACATTTTACTCGACTGCTACACAGAGACCTTTGTAGTCAAATATTAGCACCAGAACTCGTTCCGTGGAATTGAGAGTAACTTGTTTAATTAATCGCTTCTTGGGAACTAAATCGACAAAGTAATTCAGCACATCAACAGCAAACCTGTGCGCGGTTGCCGAGAGAAAGTGAGAGAGAGAGAGAGAGAGAGAGAGAGAGAGAGAGAGAGAAAAGACACCCTCTCTAGGCAGGTTGGAGTTTCGCAAGATCTTTACGCTTTGATATTAACATACGTGTCGACTCGGCGACAGCTACTTGCCATTCCTGTTTTCTCGTCGGGGCCCTTCGCTGAATTACCCGCCGCGAATTAACTCTCGGCTCGGAAACCGGGACGCTCGAAGGGAGCTAGCGAGGGCGGAGAGGTAGTCGAGTAGTTGCGGCTTTCGCTAGGTCGAAGGTGAGAAGAAGAGTTAAGCGACGAATGTGCCGTCGTGCGGAAAGGCGTACCGAGAGAAATCGAGAGGGTCGGAAGGAAGGATAACGGGTGTAACGCACACACAGAGAGAAAGAGGGGGGCGGGGGAGGGGGGAGGTGGTGGGTGGTTGGCGGTGGTACAAAGCGAGGAGGAGCCACGCGAGGATAAAGGAAAGGCAAGCTATCTAAGCGTGCCAGCATCGTATCTCAGCCGTACAATATCGTGATCCCTTGGCATATGTAAAGGCGCGCGCACATGCTGCTGGCTCTCGTTTACATGTACACGCATCTACGTACTCCGTCTGTATATTCAGGTGCACGCGTGCGCGTACCCATCTGTGCACGTAAATTTGTAAGACGATGGGTAGCTTGTGCTTACGTAGGATGCGTGTGTACCGTGCGGTTACTTGACATGCCCGAGGATCCATTCAAGCAGCTACTTCCGATGCGCATGTTTCGAAATTCCCTCGCTGTATGCAGACTAGAGGGATATACTATTTCCCGGGGAAAATGTTTTAGTATCCACCCGAAAGAGGGATATCGAGCGTACCGTGAATTTACATTCCGTTTAACCACTTGCGCTGGCAACTGATTGCGGACCAGAACGAGTGACCGTATGCAATAATTCGTCGTCTATCTTTTTTGAACTCGTTGAACTATGATATCGCTCGGATACAAACTATTGGGAAGCAAATAAATTTATTATTTGTTTCGTCTATTTTGTTTCACTTGAATATACTTAAAACTGAGAAAAACAAGAAACAAAAAATTCGCGGCTTGCGTGGCACGTTATTCCAGCGCAAGAGGTTGTTACGAATGTGAAAAATTATTCTTCAACTTGGTGGGTGGGTGTTGTTCGTGTCGTTGGGAGAGAAAGGAACGATTGGATAGAAACAGGGTAAATAAAAGCGAGGAAGAACGGGTACGAAAGATTAGGATTAATGGATCGTCCGTTCACCGATCACCGGTCACGAGCTAAAAAGTCGGGAAGCGTTCGATGCGGTCCCCGAAGGGTCAATTTACGTGGCTACCTTGCCACGGGAAATGAGTGCCTCGCACGAATGCGATACGGATTAATTTCCAAGGGAAGCTCGAACCCGCGCGTATGTATATGGGTGTCAGTAATTTCGGCAATCGAGGGAGAGGGAGATGTAACGCGGCGTAACGATGCTTATGGGGCTTTGGATCCCGATGTGCGGCTTCGCTGGGGTCTGGTTTAATGCTAGGTGCAAGGGGTTTAACGCGTAACGTAAACACCAACGGGGGTGGATCTATGGCAGCGGACCAGACAGCCGACATTCTGCTTGCGAAAAGCCCCCAGCGACGCTACGTCAACCGCATTTCCTACTTCGATCACCATCGACACGAAGAAGAATCGCGCGCCGCTTTGGAACACTTGCTCGGGCCACGGTTCGTCGGATTAGTCGATTTTGTTATTCCAACTGTCATTTAGAATGCGCCAATGGACCTTTAATTAGAGTGCAGTTATTCCAATTCCGCGAAGCTAGAGAATTATCGACAGACTCGACGTGTTTACGCGAGTTGTCGAACGCAAAGCACATTTCGAAATTTAGATCATATCGCCGGTTCCGGTTGATCAATCTTCGAAACATTTGCGGTTTCGTTCGCGTCGGTGGGCGATCGTTGCACAAGTTCTCCACGGTCGGGGAAAAATAATTCAGAATGATAATTAAAAGCGAAACACCAGCCAGCCAGCCGGATGTTGTTACCGTTCTTTTTTTTTTTTTTATTTTTTTTTTTTTTCAACCAAGCATTTTAAAATGTAATTTTACCTCCGCGCGGGATATACATTTCAATCTCGAATGCAGCGAGCGAAAACGGCTCTAACGCTTAATTACTCCAGTGAATTTTCGAATTCAAGCAGCGAGCAACAAACCGTCTAAAAAAATTCGCCGTCACTGTTCCGCCCCGTTTTCCGAATGACACCCCCTCGTCCGGTGAAAGCCCGCGTGTCCAAACGAGTAGCGGGCATATAAATATGGGAAGGAACAGAGAGAAAGAGAGAGAGAGAGAGAGAGAGAGAGAGAGAGAGAGAGTAAAGGGTAAGCGGCTGTACGTTTCGTTGGCCCTCCATTTCGAGGGAGATCCCTCTCCTCTGTCCCCCCTCTGTCGGAGGCTTTGGCGA